ATTTGCAAAAAGGTGTTTAGATTTCAGTTTCAATGAAATCCGAACACATCTTTTTTCAAATAATTAGTGATATATAAATTTTAAAGAACCTACATTGTGATAACAGCATCGAATTTTCCGTCAAATAAACGTAAACGTATACTTTTAGTGCTCTGTAATCCAAAAGTGAGAACGCAAGTAATGTAGAGTTTTTATTAAAAATGTAATGGCACCTATGATGATGAGTTGTATCTAATTGATATTGCTTTTCAAATAATAATGTATTTAAATTCCATTGTATCAATGACATACAACGATCAAGAAGCATTATCTTTCCTTTGTCACTTATATAGCATCCTATAATATCTTTAATTGCTCCACAAGAAATTGAACTATTAATTTTCCAGCCTTGCTTGCTTAAATTTCCGTTTGAAAATTTAAAAATATTATATTTATAATTATCATTCGTAACTATTAAGAAGTCTCCGTTATTATAAAATCTACATTCAATCATTGAATATCGATGAGGATCTAATTTAATTTCTATTTTATTTCTTGTTGCAAAGTTAATAACCTCTTTAAAAGACAAATGTTTCTGTAATTAATTTTAAGTATTGAAAATATTACCAGTTATTTAATTTATTTGTCACTAACCAATTATTTCAGGAAAGCTTCCGTAAAATGATTCCGACTTCATTGCAACAAGTTTATTATTTGAAACTGCACTTAATTTTGGGGATGAATACTCGCAAAAGTCTTTAACTTTTATTAAACAATCAAATTTGAAGGGTTTGGGTTGATATCGTTTTCTGATTGTTCTACTGATTGCTTTGCAGACTGTTCCACTGATTGCTCCAAGGGTTGATCAAGTTGCCAACCACAAATTGATTCATCATCTTTGTTCCATGTCACTACGTACTGACTATTTGGTGATATCAGAAGGCTTGTTATTCCCTTGCCATTGTGTGAGTTAGTTGGCTCAGGCTCGATTTCAATACTTTCTTCATATTCAGACTTCGATACTTGCGAAAATTCGCTCATTTTTGAAAAAAAAAAATCCCTTGCTTCGTACACGACTTAATTCCTTAACAAAGTATGGCTTAGAATACTATTTGGCATATAGCGATAGTGTTTATATCGGCTTAGTTAAATGACTATTACAATTTGGCCGCCTTAAACGCAAGGTTTATTAATTTAGAGAAATTAAATAACTTAGATTTTAGATGTAATGCTCGATGTTCAAATCATATAAATCATGATAATTTGACAAGATTTCCATATATTGTTTAAGGTTTACTTTACATATATTCGGTTTCTCTATTTACTTTAAACACAGTGACGTATGAAATCGGTTTTATACTGTATGATCAATGCAAATCCAAGCCTTAATGACAAAGTCACTACGTGTACAAGTTTTAGTAACATTAATATTTGTGTTTATGTGTGTAGTTTATGCTCCAAAACTATATTCGACACTAAAAAAAAAAAAAGCCACGAACTGGAATGATGCATTGTACCAAATATTTTGCATATATTATCAAAATTTACTTCTTTTAAAAAATCCAATGAATTTTAAGTATAGTAATTTTTAGACAAAACTGTTCATATGTCATTTAACCGAGTTGCAGAAAACTCATCATCAATATTAAAAGGAATCCATTCAATGATATTCTCATAATCTGTCTGTATTAATTTGCGTATGTTTATTTCCCACGAGCTATATTCCAAGAGTCGCATGTTTGGTACTAAGCTGACGAAGTATTATATCAATCACAACTTACACAATTTCCATATTCTTACTTTTTTATATTCATTGCCATTAGATCTAGATAGGGTGGATTAATAATTGTGAGTGACCAACGTGAGTTTTGACTAATGTCCTATTTCTGGTTTGAAATTTTAAAATCAGAAAATGAATTAGGAGTTATCTAAAAATAAAATGAGTAACCTTTTTTTGTTTTTTTGGTAATATATAGTTATCAAATGGCCTTAAAAATTTTTTTAAAAATTCTTAGATTATTTAATAAAATAATATGCCTCCCAAAAAAAAACTTTTAAACAAACCACTAAAGAAAAGAACTTGAGAAAACTCATAAGGCTTGATGGTTTTTTCACGAATAGTAAGATATCGATCTAATTTAATTGCTTGTAATGGTTCCTCGATTTCTTTTTCGAGAATACTAGTTGTATTATTATGAGTATTATTAGAATATTCTTCTATTACTATTTACAGTATGTCTTTAATATGTAATTGTCGGATCGGTGATTGGCCAAAAACACATGACCCGACACCTTTTTGCAATAAAAATAATGAATACGTACTGGAATATTATTTGACTACGAAACTCAAAATGTCTACTTCAGGATCTTGTTGGAAATCAGCAGTAAAGAAAGTAAATAAAATTCGAAACAAAATTGATAACATAGTCCATAACTATCCCAAACTACCAGAATTTTCCTTAAATGAAAACAAGTGAGTGTACCCCACGGGTTTCCTTAAGAACTGCTCAATGTTAATTTGCATGGTCTGCAGTTTGCCCTTTCAGATTGGGTCGAAAGTTTCAGTGAAAGACTATAATACTTTTATCGACCGTAACGAATCAAGCGGATACAAATTTCATTGGAACAGCGGAAACGTTTACATCGTTGATATGGCCAACCTAGATCATCAAGTTGTTGTCCGACATCTTATATCGTTTTTCGATGCTCCCAACAATGGCGTGATACATGGATGTCCGATAAAGGTTGCTGGTCAACCATGTAAGAGATTTCCAGTTAGTCTCTTGATCTTAGACCTATTATAATAATCTATGCTTCTTCTATAGTTCATTATGATCCAATTAATATCGAGAAAAAAATAGCATCAGACGTTACAGTATATCCAAATGTGGCATATGTTACAAAACCTCTTATTCCGCATCCTGGGCCTCCCCCCAGTTGCTTACAAGTACATTGATTTTGTGCTATTATCATCTTTACTTTGGAATTATTTCTTAATATTATTTATATGTTCACGTAGGGATACCCCCATGCGAGAATATTCTGTGAAGTGGCATTTGCTCAAAGCACCTCTCTCTGGAATCAAAAATGCACGAATTGGATATGTGCGTTCTGTGTTTGGAATTAAAGTTTTTAGCATGAGAGTTGTAAATGGACATGTTCATCGGTCAATGATGGTATTTATGTCTAGCTACCCTGTTCACTATTATATAGTTTCGTTCTATAAGTTTTTTTTTTTAATATTAGGCTAGGTTATGGACTCGTCAAACACCAGCACCACCAGGAAGTACACCAGTAGCAGAATTAACAGGAGTATCTATCCAAGAAGTAAGATTGATCTACTTTTAGTATTTCTTGTGATTCAACGTTCAAGGCCTAAGGTGTATTTTCACAATATTATAGTGGGATTTCGGCACTCTACAAGTAAATAGTAATAACCCTACGGGCTGCACAGGTCCGAACATTCCTGCCTACCAAGTCAATATCCCAGTATCAGATGTTTTCTGGGACCCGCCAATTGTTGCAGGAACTCCAAATGTTATTGGGTATGCTGTAGCAGTCCCTCCTGCAATCACTGCCAATAATTTCGTTATTGACTTATACAATATTCAACAAAAAGTTTTAGAAATAATACAATGATACCTTTATTGCTTTATTTGGTTCGTCATATCAAGCGAAAAAATCAAATGTATTACAGTATAGCAAAAAGTAAAAGAACGATACAAAAATGCAGTAGTCAAATAAACTTATTGGTCACGCTACTAAAAATAAAAATGTCAATATTTTTATTCTGATTCAAATTATATGAAGTTCATTATAAACTATGTCATACAAAATACATAATGCCCTAATATTTAAGGATACCAAATTTTGATTCTTTTATTTCACTTTAAAATTTGGGCAATTAAATAATCAATATCATCTTGAAATAAGTTTAAAATATAGATGAGTTAAAGAATCTAATCGGGCATGCAAGAGTAAACACGATTATACAAAGAGATCGGCCCTAAATTTTTTAGGTACACTAATTGTGTGGCATTCAAAATAAATAAAAACAAATTATATTCTACTCATTTTACGGAGTAAAAACTATTGAGCTATCCTTTATCGCTATCATTAATTCCAGAATTAAACAACAAAGACAGATCATCAAAATTCTCTAATTAAAAAAAGTTTTGATAATTATTTCAGAATAATGTGACATAGAGCATAAATTAAATACATACTCATAGCAACAAGATAATCCAGTGTTCCAGCACTGAAATGATTATCGATAGGTATCCATTATAATTTTTATTATGGTAGTTTAACACAGAAGGGCTCATCAAATTTTGCATCAATCAAAGTGACGCGTCTGATCGACAAAAAAGCTTATAAAATCACGTGTTCTTTGTTTTGCTCTTAACATGCAAGAAACTAGTTCATTTTAATAATAATGAATCAACTAAATAATTGTTACCGTTGATGTAGAAACGCTCAAACATAATTAACACGACCGTGATAAGAATAATTTTAAAGCTATTGTAAGTTTAGATCAGTCTTTAGGAATTGTAATGACCTAATAAAAGGTCACCATGTCAACCGAAATCGTGTTGAGCAACATATGCAGGCTCAATTTTTTAATTCGGCGTATATACATATGTATAGCATGTACAGTATATGAGACTAAAGAGGGATGTTTCGTTAAAATAATCTTGTAAAACTTCTACACATAGGTTTACTGAAACAATAACTAATGTGAATATGTATATATATTTGTCTAAATTATTATCAAAAGTACGGTGATTCACATCTATACAAAGATAAACACTTTTATTATAAAAAAAAATTATTTCAAAAAGACATAAACTCAACTAGTGGTACGTTACATGAGTTTTATTAGCATTCAAATATTATGCTATGGTTATGATCCTTATTCAAATGTACCATCAAGTATAAACCAAAGCACTTTATCGCTAAATCATTAAAAACTATTCGACATTATAAATAATTTTTTTAAGCACTATTTTCATAATACGATTTTATAAAATTTTGTGTATATCTTTAGCTAACTCTGATATGCCAGGAACAGGATCATTTTCTGCAATATTAATAAGATCTAAACACTGATTTCTGACGGCAGGCAAAGATAAATGTGTGTCTATCAAAGAAAAAAGAATAGTTATTATAATAAATGACATGAATTGACATAAAAAAAAAAAGATTCTCACCTTTAACTTTTTCAATGACTTTTTTCAAACTATCCAAACTTGCTGTACGAATTGCAACGTATTTTGCATCTTGTAGTCCATTTTTTAAGCCTTTGAAAACAGAAAGCAAGGTTTCTTCATCCAATATTAATAGTTTATCACTCTCTGTAAGATCTAATTTATCTATATATTTATCGAGAGATGCAAGAACGCCTAGACGAACATTCCAGATATTTTTACTCGATTCTAAAGCAGTTGCGAGCACGATACCAAGTTCTTTAGAATGTAGTGCTGTAGAATATTATATATATACCATTCAATTAATAATACTTGAAATATATTAACGTTTAATTCATTTAATATATACCTTGGATTTCCTTTTTTCTAGGCCACACTAAACCAAGACATTTCATTGCGCTTGCTTTAACTAATAAGAATAATGGTTGTTGATTGGCGTCATCTTCGTCCATTTCATTAGGATCTTGTTCACTAGTTGCCAATTCAATTAAAAATTCCTTTACATCTGCATAAAGTTCCAAACTATCAATATAAGCATCTGCGAATCTTCCCAGATTATCGATACAATGGCGCTTATACTGCTTATTAGTTTTTTTGCTCTCACGCACAAGAATCTTATATGAACAGGCGAAGAATGCAATATTTTAATTTTCAAAAATTAACATTTGAAATAAATTACATCAATCAATAAATTAGCCTCACTTTTGAAATAGTATCCAATTGTGCGCGTGTATTACTGTCAGCAAAATATTCTTTACATGAAATAGAAGCTGTTACAAGTGCTTCAACAAGTGCTTCTTTTCCAACCCACGTCCTTCCTGACAAGCCATCCATTAATAGTGGGATAACTTGTGCCATATATGGTAATAAACTTTTTTCTAAAAATTTAAAGACATTAAAAAAAGTTTACATTGTAGTCAATACGATTAGATAAATCTTGTTAAAAATATTTTTTACTACCTATGATTTTAGCAACATCTGCAATTGTCAATGCAGCTTGGCGTTTAGTTTGCCATGATGGTGATTCCAACAATGTAGACAAAAGATCTATCAATTCTTTAAGATACAATTTAATTGCACTGGTAGAACCTAAAATTATCATAATATAAAAGATTTCATGAATTAAAATAAAATAATCAATAATTCATTATCATGCATTATAGAGTTTATTGTACCAGCAGTATTCTCGTCCCATACTTCATTCCATACATTCTTAATCCCTGTATCGGAATCATGTAAGCCATAGTAAGCAAGCGGTAATATTTCTACATATACTCGTTTTAGCTCGTCCGACGCATGTCTAGAAATCTCCAGAGTAGTTATACCCGAAATTGAACGTATTTCTTGTTCTATAATTTGAGAATTGAAAAAAGGGTCATAAAAATCAATCTACTAAATTAATTACCAAATCTTAAGGAACTAAAGCTTCATACCGCTATTTTCACAATAAATTTTCTTCAGATGCCCAATGAATCTAATTAAAGTATTATCCGGTGATAAATGGGCAACATAACCAACGGCAACAGCGTATGATTTTCGGACTGCAGGTGACACATCAGTAATAGCACCACTTAAAGCTTTCATGATGGCGTCCGCTTGTGGTTTTACTGCTGATGCTTTTTTGAGACACATTGATACCAAGAATCGTGCACAACCAGCCTACAATTAAACTATTCACTAAGAAAAGATATCACGCAAACAAAACAAGAGTTAAATAATATCAATATTATTTAGATCACCTTTGTTGGTAGTCCGATACCCTTACGGACAAGTTGTAATAGTCTAGGTGTTAAATTTTCCATAACACTTTCGTCAATATAATCAATACATGACTCGATACCTTCCATCATTGGAGACATTTTTGCTGCAGATAATCGAGAGTTTTCAAGCTAATAATATTAATAAAATATGAGTTGCATGAATGAGGCCTTTCTATAGCATCAATACTATATAACACTACCAACCTGTTCTTGAGTGACATCGTATTTTTCAACATGGAAACTAAGATAATCTAACAAAAAATATATATTATTTAATATGGTAAAAATATTCTAGCAAAAATACTATTACTATGAATAAGTACATACTCATAACTTGTGGCTCCATACTAGACAACCCTTCTAACAAAGTTCCAACAATTTCTGTAATATGCAACCTTAGTAGAACCCTTGCTGATTTACAAATCTTAAGGATTGTTCTTAGAGAAAATTTGCGCACATCTTCAGAATCAGACACCAGACCTTTCGTCAATAGGAATGGCATTATAATGTTCATTATTTTTTGACCATCGTTGACGGATACATTATCAGGATCACAATATTTCACAGTAATTTTTGTAAGTGATCGACATGTTTTAAAAGCAGCGACACGTACACTTTCCTGTTAAGTTATTAATAATGATTAATTATAACTCTAGAAATAGTGACTAATTAAAGTGATACTTACTTTAATATCATCCAAAACCCTAAAGCACATAGTCCATAGATCTTGCAAGTATGGCTCAAGTGCCTGAATTGATTGACCTTGCAAAAGATCTGCCAATGCGTTGGCACTAAAGTATTTTAAAATGTCAGTAATAGCATATGGATATATAAGAAGAATTTTTTTATCAATTAAAATACATAAATATACCTAGATTCTCTTGTTCTCCACAAACGATCTCCAAGAGCTTTAAGTAAATCTTTAACAATTACATTAAAATATTCTTCGATCGCCTTCTTAGGCTCCTTCACTAACGCTTTCCAAATACTACTCATTGCCTCATTTACTTTGGGATTAGGATCGTATTGAAATCGATATAGTCGAGGTATTAAATCCTTCAAATAAGGTTCTAATTCCTTCTCTGCTTGTGCAATTATAAACGAAAATCCAAATGCAGCACCCCTCCGTGATTGCCACATAGCATTATGACTAGCCAATTGCATGAATTTATACACTAATTCTGGTTGATTCATGTCTGATGCAAGTGATAGGATAGATTGATAGGTAGAGATAGCAGATCCATCAGGAGTCTGACCGAGAGTATTGGAATCAAACAGTTGGGTATCAGCATTAACAGTTTCTTTCTGACGCTTTCCTTCACTAAGCATGTCAACAAGAGAATTGACAAGTTGTTCTCTCGTATTTTGATCACCCAGTTCATATACAAGTCCTATGCCCTTGGAGGCAACTTCTTGAGTAAATTCTATATAAGAAAAAAAATGAAATGGTTACATTTTTAACTAGAAAATGTTAAAATATCTAACTTGAACAAATTAATTACCATCACGATCGGCCAAAAGCATAGAAAATGCAGAATGAATTTTTGGCAAAGCAGTCTAATAATTAATATCAATAAAGAATTTATTATTTATTAGCATTATCATGTTAATTATTTATAGAAATCTTTAATAACAATAAAAACCATACCTTTATAACTTCATGTTTGGAACAAAACTTAACCAGACATAACATCCACACGCATACAGCTTTTTTAACAGAGCCTTTACCAGATGGTAATAATTCAGAAAACATTTTATTCAAAGCTCCACTGATAACTGAATGTTCGATGAGAATCAGTGGAGGAGGAGAATCTGCGATATCTAAATATTGATTTAATGCTAGACTTTCCCATCCTGTAGTAACGCATGTGATCGCTTCTCCTACAGTGAAATGTACATCGACTTGCTTGTTAAGAGCAGATGCCAAATCATAGAATAATGATAACACTTTCTCGGTGTATTCTGAGTTTCCCAAAGCAATATGACCGAGTGTAATAATAGCTGTTTCTTGAGTCTATTGTAAAAGATCAATTATAAATAATTCAAACTAACAAATCTTCAAAAATAATTAAAAGGTAACAAACCTTGACATCCTTAGTAGTTTTCACAAGAGTAATTAATTTTTCTACCAACTTAGTTAGCTTATTGTTGTATGAAGATGGATCATCACTGTTTCCTTTACCCTTATCATAATTCTCAAATAAAAATGATGTATAGCGACAAATTTCACCCAATGCTTTAGATGCGTTAATCACACTAAAACTTTTTGTTGAATCTAAATTTTCTGAAATAATTTCTATTATTTCTAATAAAAGACTTGCTGGTACGATGGATTGATATGTAGATGGATATCGATAAGTTAAACGACCGATTATGTACCCCAATGCTAGAATACTTCCATCATGGTATTCAGCTTTGACCTTTATCATAAACGAATTAGCTAAATTTATTGTTTTAATAGCACATATAAATAGTTAAAAACCTTACCTGTTTTGACTGATCCTTGCTGATGGTGATAAGCTCTTTAATCAATTCTTGAATAGATAAACTTCTTGCTGGATCACTTTCCAATTCACTTGTGCTTATTATTCCTAATAAATGGGCAATAGAATTACGTACTCCTAATTTTATTACGCTAAGAAAAGACTATAATTGAACAATAGAAACATTATTTACATCAATAATCAAACGAAAGTTTTTACGAAACAATTCAAATAAAATAATAATAAAAATAATAAACAGTGGATTATAACCTTAAACCAATCTATTTTACTCTCAAAAGACCGAGACAAAGATGATGGTCCCAATGATATAAGTTCTAAAAGACATGAAGATGCCATAAACTGCAGTGATGTATCTAAATAAAGTCAACAAAGTCCAATTAAATTCTTATAAATATTATAAATGTATGTGAACAAAGGCGTAAAAATAAGGTTGCATGCCTATTATGCCTTCAGACGTCAAGCCTTTTTCGATTAAACGAAGGTAAATGTGTAATGCGCCTTGTGGATCATCAACATCCATTGCTTCTGTTGAATCTTGATCAGTCGACCATTGATCCTTTATCCAAGTTTTTAATAACAATCGAGTGTTGGAATCAAACAATTTAATTTCACCATCTAATTCATCAGACAAATCATCAATTAAGGCAGAAGGGTCTGCATTTATAATCATTAAATGCCTCAGAAATCGTAATATATTAATATAAACTTCGGAACGAAAACCCATAACATATATTCGACCAGTAGATTGACTGGTTTGTAAAGTATTAAGTAAGTTTTGATTATGCTGGGTCGATTTTGTATAAATTAAATTAACCATTTCGGAGAAAGAAGGAATTTTAATTTCTTTATCTGGTTCATTTGGATATAATTTGGGAGCTCTTGGATCTGGAAGTGATAGACCACGTAAAGCCATTTCTCTAATCTCTAATTTTTCATCGGCTGAGGCAAGAAGACAGATGTATCGAGAATGGATGTGTGAGAATGGAAAAAGGGAAACAGCATATTTTACTGCACAATATCTAGCCTGATTTAACGGCTAAAGGATATAATTTAAAAATTTTTTTGTTTAATATTTTTAGCTTAATAATATACTATAGTTCTCAGTCAAAAACTAGACTAATTCGAACCAAATAAACTCAAATATAAATTTAAATTGGACAGTGACTGTGATTTGTCATGTAAAATTATATTCGTAAATAATTTACTGAATAGTCGCAAAATAACGCGCTGGGGCATTATTTCGAATTTTGGCCCGAATTAAGCTTAATTCAGGCCGAAATTCGAAATTACATCTTTGCGCGTTATTTCGCGACTATACGGTATAATAAAGTCACAGAATCATAACACGGACCTTGCTAATATTTTCTTCTAAAATGTTTTCAATCATACTGATCGTGGTTCCATCTGCCCACTGATAAATATTTTGATATGCTTCAACCATATTTGACAATGCTTCTTGTACTGATACACGAATATTATTGTTATTTGTGGACAAAGCTGAGAAAAGCATATTAAGTATAGAAAAATCTTTGCGAAAGATATCCGGCACTTATAAAGAATAAAAAAAAATTAGAATCCAAGTTTACTGCGTGAACAAAATATGTACTGTACTGTACGCGTGTAAAAAATATTATACCTCGTTGAGCCAACAAACTAATAGATATATATGAAAATCCTATCAAAGTCACTTTATCTCCCTTTACATTCTCAATGTCTATATTTTTTGGAATTATCATGATTGACACAGTCAGAAAAATTATTATCAAACCGATAATATTGCTATATTAACATATCTGAAAGAATTTTGTCACCTTCATTAATGAGCTTTAAGAGACCAGACAAGAGCACTTGTGCAATTTGCTTCAATAGTGCAGTCTCAGCCTAAGACATACATTATATGATATACTTAGTTTATAGAATATTAAGATGTATATAAATATTGAAATGTATATTGACCATTCTAGCAATCCATTGAACAAATAACATTCCTTGATTTTGCAATTTTGAATTGGTTGTAGGGCCTTAAGTGATGAAAATATATAAAGATATTACATTAATGCTGTATAATAATAAGTAAAATATGTAGTCCATATATTTACCATACAAACAATCAAATGCAACTTGCAACATAGCCGGGAACGTATTTGTTGCCAACTTAGATCTGCAAATATAACCCATTATCTTGAGCTTAAGAGCAGGTGATGCTGGTTGTTGCGCTATCTCTTGTAGATCTTTGAAAACAAATATATATAATGTATAAGCAGAAATCATTTACATATGACTTTATGATAGAAAATATAATAATAAATACTTGATCCTGCAGCCCCCTGATTAACAGTGCCTTGATATAATAAATATAGCCTTTTGACTACCTACGAATAATCATATTTGGTATCATCTAATAACACAATATGAAATAATATAACAATAATGCCTGCATACTTCTGCATTTTCCATATCAGGTTTTTTTATTTTCTTAATACCATCTTCACCCCCATCAATAACATCATTAAAAGAATCACAACTAGCTGCCAAAAGCACCAAAAATTTAGCAAAATGAATTTCTTCGGGCAATGAATCTGGCAGTATTGTTGAAGAATTAATAAACCGAAGGATTCCCAACTATTTTAAAAGAAAATATCTTGTTTAAAATTTCTTCAAAAGTGATAGGAATAACTTTTTTAAAAAAACTAACTTAAAACCTTAATAAGTTTAAGATCTGGAATTCTCTCAGCCCATTGTATTTTTCCATCATTAGTGACAAACTTCACAGTTTTTATGCTCATACCCGGCGGTGGAAGTTGAGCCAAATTTTGAGATCCTTCTTGCTGCCTTCAAAGCAATTACGAATCAGTATGAGTTTTTTTTATGCCAGAAAATAGAAAAAATGTAATTACCCAGAGCTTGAGCTTGAGTCACCCCTAGTCGGTTGAAGTTGTGACCTTGGTTGTTGTGGTACATTATATAAAATAACATCCAAAAATGATGCCAATAAAAACTTAGCATCATTCAGGTTTTCTGCGAAATTATAGGGATCTAACGATGATGGAGAACCTGCAGGTTTTGGCTTGAATTTTTGCAAGACCTATTGTTGCAGGATTCATGAGAAGACTATAAACATTAATGAAAAAAAATAAGATCTAAAAATATAGTTTACCGTAAGGATAATATGAAACAGAGATTGTCTTAGTGATTGAGGTTTTGATGCGATATTATTAATCAAATTTGGCAAATGAACGACTTGATCCTACAAATGTTCAAAAGGAATATAAGATTTATGCATCGGATGAAAAAATAGAATTAAAGAATAATATTTTATACCTCTTCTGTTAAACGGGCATATGCCATTTCGAGATATATTATAGCAAAATTCTTAACAAATGCTGATTGAGTGACCTTATCAGTACAAACAAGATCAATAAGCGGATCCAGAGGAAGTTTGATATCAGTTTTCGACCGAGTCCGTTTATTTATATGAGTTAATACACCCATAACCTAGCATTTGTGATCAAATCAAGCTTTAAAAATAAGAATTATAACACAAATTTATCCTAATTATTATCCAACCTTGGTCCGTACAACTTCATGAGGGCTTGCCAATTTCAGAAGGATTGGACTCAAAAAAGAATTTAGAAGTTTCTCTAGTTGGACATCAGTCTCGGCAAGTGCAAGTCGAAGTTCGACTCTTTCAAGCAATTCTGAAAAAAAATGTTTTGCGTTAAACTAAGCTTATGACTAGAATTTGATCAGGATTTAAGCAAAAACCTATTTCTTCTTCAGCCATTATCTTAAATATTTCGTCTTAAATATTTTTGTCTTGAATATTTCGTCTTGAAGATAATTAAAACTGAAACGTGCGTACGTACGTAGCTAATTACGTATGCGAGGTACGTTAGCAGGTACGTAGATCAATTCAATCAATTTTATAGTTATCGGTCAGGCAATTTGTCACGGGTATTGTACTGCACTGCAGTACTGTACGTTTTTGATGCCCGTCCGAAAAAATGCATGTTTGATCATCCGCGCATGTAAAAGTTGCGTTTTTGATCCATTATGTTTTGATCTAAAATTATATGAGCAAATTTTTCGAAAAAATTTATCAATTTAGAATAAAGATTTGGGCTGATTTTTTGCTTATTAATAAGATACAAAAGCAGTTGCACTGTATTAATAAACTTTTGCTTTAAAGTTCGGTGATCGTCCGAAGAGTTAGGTCGGAACGGCGGAACTAGAAACAAAAATTACATAGTTAATAAAATAGTATATCTGTTGAAAAGTTTCCATCGTATAAAAACGTCCCATAAAAATTGTTCATCCCCTGTAATACTGGCCATTCGAAGTTCAGGATCAGGTATAACTTAAATCGAAGCGAAACCACTTTTTTACATTTAAATTAGAAAACCACTTCTTTTTACACGCAACTTTTTACTTAGAAAACAAACAAAAAATGTGATTATTGCAAAACTAACGTTGATTGGTTGATTTATTGAACACAATAGTAAAATATAGGGCTTCGCAAAAATACAGTTATACCTGATTTATATCACCCCTTTTTTCAAAAGCATTTTTGGTGATATAACTAAGGTGGAGATATAACTCAATACTTTTGCGCGGCATTAAAAAGGAACAAATTCATATATAAACTATATAAAAAAAGGAAATTTATTCTGCTAAAATATGGGGATATAATTCAGGTTGGGATATAACCCAGTGGGGATATAACTCAGGTATGACTGTAACCTGTGCCTTTTTTCTAAATATACTAAATTTTGAAATTTTATATTTACATTAGACAAGACCTTAATTTCAAAGATCCTAAGATAGGCGAGACTTTTACTAGTAGCAATGCCGAAGGTTTTGCCATGTAAAACTTTATACAATACATGACAAAGTTCGTAAAGAACACATAATAGGTTCAATATTGTTATATGAAACTTTTGTGTTTACATTCTACAAGACCTTAACTTCAAAGATTCTAAAATAGTTTTTCAAGTTCCAAAATAGACGTAACTTTTACTAATGACAATACCAAAGGGTTCTTTATGTAAAAAAAATATGTAGTTTTGGCTAAGGCGTAAAAAGTACAGTAATAGGTTCAATATTAGGCATGAAAATTTCACTTTACATTCAACAAGATCTTAGCTTTAATGATCCTAGTTCCAAAATAGGCTTAACTTTTACTAGTGACTTATTGTTAGACGATTTGACTAGCTTGCTTGAATCAATCGTCTAGTTAACCTATTTACGGGCTTTAAAGTACTTTTGAAAATATAACGGTAAAAAAAAATAAATTTGATTATCCAGCGAACTCATATGATCATGAAAAAATTTCTTTTTGTTATTTTTTTCACGTGTTACAATGTAATTATGTTTATTCCAGTATTCAAAAAAAAAAAACTCAGCGAGCAACTCCCTACCAATCATGACCATAAATTGCCAATATTGGGCAAATTGTCGAATACGGTAATTCGACAAATGATTGGCTACATGTGCCGCTTTGCGGCACGTGCTCATTTGCCAAATTACAATTTTTGCCCAATATTGTATACTTAGTGATCTGATTGGTTAATTATCATGTTTTGATATCATATGTGACAAAACCAAATTTTTGTGATATATTGAATGGAAATGCGGGTAATACAAACCTCTAAAAAGGAAATGGCCAATCAGAAATTTATTAGCACAACATAGAATCCAAACACATGCAAAGAAGAAAAAAAGAAAAACTAGTGTTAAATCGACCTTGTTGGACTACAGTCATACCTGAGATATATTTCCTCTTTTTTTCAGAGTATTTTTGGGGATATAACTAAAGTGGTGATATAACTTAGGTATTATCCGAATTAAGTATATGGTCATGTGATGTTGAACCAATCAAAATATAAATTTTCAAATAATAACAATAAATTAAATAAGCAATGTACATATATTATAATTCAGTGATTTGTAATTGATCAGAATTAATAATCAATGCATGAAAATTGAACATGAATACTATTCACATTCTCAGAAACTAACTTTCATTCATTATAGCACTTTGTAGACATCAAATTGACTTGGATATGGATAATGTTAATAACATGCATTAGTGAGTCACAAAATTTTAATCACTAGAATAATAAGGCTCACTACAGAATTTTTTACAGTAACTCACAATATAAACTATAGTAATTTTAATGCAAACTAATTCAACCACATATTGTGATTATTAGAATAGCGAGCAAGTTTTGTATTAAATTTTTTTTTTAGTTAATACAAACTGCATATATGTTAAATAGGTCCATGGCAATGTTTTTTATAGTAATTTATAAATGAAATTATGATAATTTCAATACAAGCTAACTCACCTTTTTATCATTACCAAAATAATAAGTTTTGTAATAACAAAATATTTATAGTAACTTGCTGTAGAAATTCTAATAAAGCCAACTCAACCAAACTACATAAAAAATACAAGACAACTCTAATGCAACATATCTCAACTTTAACCAATACTGTCAATGCAAACTAACTCAACCTTAATTGCATACTATAGTTACTAAAATAGTGAGGCTCTGCAACAGAATTCTTTATGAAAGAAATAATAACTTCAATGCAAACCAACTCAGGCTTAACTACATAAAAGTTAAGACAATTTTAATGCTAGCTAACTCATCCTCAACCACATCATGGTCATCAAAATAGTGGGTAAATGTTGCAAAATTTTTTATATATTAATAAAAACCATAAAAATTCTAATGCAAATTTACATAACCTTAATTACATAATATAGTATAATTATTGTTAATTCTTATTTATATAGCATTATTATTAGGGATGAATCAGTCTTCATAAAGACTGAGACCGGATGGTAAAAGACTGAGGACCAAATAATTCTCAGTCCTCAGTCTGGAATCGTCCAGTCCTGGTCCTGATTATGGTCTAATGATGACTAATACTACTGATAAAAAAAGCTGATAAAGAAAACAACGCAAATAATAATAATAATAATAATAATAATATAAAACTTCTTTCTAACTATGAACAATAACAGAAATTTCTTGCTTCCATCTCACAATGATTGGGTTTTATGATTTTGGGCTCGTTAGAATCATCTTGATGTGAAGAACATTTTGGTGGATGTTTTATTAAAAACGAACAAGAAGATCAAAATTTATTTAAGATTTAAAAAGGTGTCAAATTATATCTGTTTTAGTATGATTGCAAAAATTAGCGCATACGAATATAATTCAAATTGCCGTAAATTGAACTATTAAAACATCTGAAATGATACAAGGTATGGCATAATCTGAACATTTTTATCTACAATCATGTATGAATAAAATTATAGCTTAACAATTTTATAAATGCAAACCAGCTTATCAATGCTATTAAATGCTATATATAAATGACATGATTAATATGAACGATATTTTTTATTAAATATCTCAGCCGAAGCTAAAGCTGAACTGAGATAAATTTAGGTGTCTATTTGTATACTAAACCAACTAAACCCTATTTATAAATTCATTTATTAACTCCAAATACTAATATAAGATCTTAAAGACCTGTGACTTTATATATTATCATAGAATTCCTTTGTAACATAAGTTGATTCAGAATTTACAAAATTTTGATTTCAACATACAATATTTTATGAGAGCAATCCAAGTTAGGAAATCTGGTTGTGATCAATGATCTTGGCAGGTATTATGAAAACGGACGGAAGAATGATCAAGATTATAATAAGGCATTTTGAATACTATAAAAAAATCTGCTAATATAGTTTATATGATAGTAATAAGTTATATTGGTCGATTTAATCAAAATGGTATTGGTATAAAGAGAGACAATAAGAGTGAAAATGTTTGTTCAGAAAACATGGAAGCCTTTTGAAATTAATGGGAATATAAATCCTAACTTAAGAGAATATTAGATGATGAATTAAACTATTTTTGACCAATTATAAAAAGTTCTGAAATTCAGAAAAAGGGAAAAGAGGATTTGCAACTGTATATTATGCACACTGGGATGATAAAATTAATGAATTTTGTTCTTAAAATAATTCATTGTTCAAACGAAAATTTACAAGAATTTATTCAGGAAAAGAAGAATCACTGTGAATATTGATTATGAGAATTCTTTGTTTTTTGGAATGTATTGGAGTATCAAGAAATAATTATGATGATTATATTATTGTTATGGATTATGCAAAAAAGGTTCGTTACGACAAAATCTTGTACAAATATCACTGAGTATCTTGTATTGTATAATATTAGAGTCAGGAACTCGCAGAAATATTTTGCAAGGAGAAGGTAATTGGCATAACACACATATCACTGATCTTGGACTTTCTAGAAAAGTTTGCGGAATTCTACTGTATACAGTACCAAAAAATTTGGTGGGTCAACTGTATACTCAAGCATCAAATATTTACATCCTTAGAGTCATCACGACAGAGATTTCGACCGGGCAGAGAGCATTTGATGGAATTCCATTTAATAATGATTTTGGATCAAGACCTAAATGTTAAGGACCCAGTTGTTATATTAAATTAGCTATTAAATGTATGGATATAGATTTTGATAAACGATCTATTGCGACAGAAATTATCGAAATAATCATTCATTGGTTAGATGAAATGGACCAGAATGATTATAATAAAATTAAAACCCAACTTTTTAGAAACTAATAATATAATACATTCACAAGACATACACTAGCAAGATATATTATTGAACATATTTAATACAATAGAAATCCACAAATTTTATTTTTAAATTAAAGTTACAGTATATAATATAT